AAACCTGTTTCAGATCTTCTTTGTATTCTATGAATGGGAAAAGTTGCGTGTATTAGTAACTTTACTTACAAATTGGAAAGATCATAAGACAAAATAAAAAATTAGTTCAGAGTTTCCATTAATTCTAGCAACAGAACTAGTATCTGGCTACAGCAGTTTGTAGCTCAGCTGAAGATTTGGTCAATGCCGACAAAAGAATAGAGCAAAACTAAGAAGAACTAGAATAAAACTATGTGACAGTAGATGAAAATCCACATCAGAGTCCATTGCTTAAGAACAGACAGTTCAATTGTTATCGTTTTAGAATGTGATTGGGTATGTAATAAGACAAATCCCCATCTTACACGGGTACTGTTTTGTGAAAATGTCTAGCCTTGCTCATGAATTTATTGTCCATCCAGCTTTAGAATCTTTTTAGTTTATATGACACAAGAGCCATCTGGGCTCTTGCCAGTTCCCAAACTCCACTCCCATCACCAACCTTCTAACTTTATTTTAGAATTTGATTAGTATGACCTGAAATTTATAGATTTATTTTGAGAGACTCTACCTTTTACAATTAAAACTTTTGATTGAGAAACACAATGTGTCTGTTCATTTATTCAGCACAGAGGTTTAATATCAACCTCACCCACAACAGTTAAACAGTGGCATGTCCAAGTCCCTTAGATTCACATTTTATAAAATGTAGACATAGTTCCCTATGGCATTGTACTTGTGTAGTAAGCAAAAGTAAAAACAAAACAGCATAAGAAAAATTTTACCTTTGGAGGTAACGTGAAGAGCTACATTTAAAAAAAAATTAAAAATGGTTTAGGGTCAGTGTGTTGCTCACAGCTGTAATACCAGCACTTTGGGAGGCTGAGGCAGGAGGATCACTTGAGGCTAGGAGTTTGAGACCAGCCTGGGCAACATAGTGAGACCCAGTCTCTAAAAAATAAAGATGAAAAGTAGCTGGGCATGGTGGTGCGTGTCGGTAGTCTTAGCTACTCAGAAAGCTGAGGCAGGAGAATCACTTGAGCCCAGAAGATGGAGGCTGTGGTGAGCTATGATATTGCAATTGTTCTCCAGCTTAGATGACAGAGTGAGACATTGTCTCAAAAAATTAAATCAAATTAAAATTTAAAAAGTTTAATACAGAATTGTGCAGGAATACATGGATTTCATATTTAGAGGGCAAAGAAGACTAGCTTAGCTGCTGCAGCTGAAGATGACGTCAAAAAATAATTGTGAAAGCCTCTCTTTGAAAATTTGATAGATATGTTTGCGAGAAGAGGGAGGGATCTCCAGAAATACTGCCTTGCCCATCATCCTAGGCAGTTCCAGTTTCTTTCCTCTCCCTGGCTGAGGGCAGGTGCAGGCCAGATGATCAGAAAGCTGGAATTGAATATCCCATGCCTAAGGACATTATTTGCTAAGGTGCACTCAGTGCCTTGTTAGAGAATTTTGCAGTCAGCTGCCCTTCCAGGGAAAAGGCACAAATAGAAGGTTCAGTGTTTGATGATGGGTGCAGAGTTTGGGACTGGTAAGGGGATCAAGCTAATTGCTTTCAGCTTTTTTGTTAAATTTGGTTTGGAGGTGAAGTCTAAATGGTATCTTGCTTTATCAATGACTTCTGGAATCCCAATCTGACTCTCTAAAGTGTTTTGCCAAGTTTTTATTAATATTTCTTTCTAGATGGTAAGCCAGGAGGAAAGAAGGGAAGCAGATGACCCTTAGTGAATCCAAATCCCTGCTGAGGTCCACAGATAGGGTCGTTTGTTCCCCAACAGCACACGGCGGCCCAGGAACGAACCCAGGGCTTCATTCCTCCCTCAACGTGTATTTAACTGTCACTACTGTCCCCTACAGAGCCATTAGCTCTGTTGCTCCAAATCCCTAAATGCCAAGAGTACCTCCCTCCTTCTTGCTCTTTCTCTCACTCTCTCTCCCTTGCTCTCTCTGTCCTTTCCTTATTCCCCTGCCTTTGGTGGCAGAAGAAAATGCTTAAGGAAGACATAACATAAATACATAGGATTATTGACTGACATAGCTGAATGATTGTCATTCTTGTATCCTAGGTCTGAATCTATGTATGCACCAATCAACCTTCTCTCACTTCCATTCATTGAGCATACAATACTGGATATGCACTGAGCTAGATGATTTATGTGTTTTCTTTACATTTCCAAGATAAGTACTCCTATCTCTATTTTACAAAGGAGGGAGCTGAAACTCAGAGTGAGTCAGTTTCCTGTCCAAGGCCACACAGCCAGAGAGATGGTCCCTGGATTAGAACACAGGTCTGTTTGAGCGCAGAGCCTGTACTCTCCTGCTACGAAGTCACATTTGAGATTTTACCATAGAGCAGCAGCCAATACATGTCATTTCTACCATAGTTAAAGCTGAATTTGACAGGGACTTTTCCTATAGCACTTAAGCTTAATCTGGGACAATTATTTCACTTTCTGCCTTAGGGGCATTTTCAGTAAGGTTCCCCAAAATAAAACCTACCAAGTCTCTCTTTTTTTTATGTGTGTTTCCTGTCCTGGGTGGGAAGGAAGCTACTGGAGCCAGTTAATGGCTCTAAAGTGGAGTGACTAGAGAGGAAAGTGCCTTGGGTGTTCGAATACCCTGTTGCGTTAGTAAGCACACTTATTAGGGTCTTCTGTAGGTCACTAAAGTGGACCAGACCAGTCCCTGTCACCCTTCCTGAGAAGTCAAGGCATAAACAAACAAACTATAAAGCAGGATAAAAAGTAAAGCAGTTGTTTTAAGTGCAATCCATAGATAACCAACGGCCAGCATAAAGGGAAGAAAAGTACTGCTGGAAGACGTAGCAGTCAGGGAGGCTTCTCAAAGGCGATGGAACTTAAGCTGAAACTTTCAAGGATAAATATATAGAGGTGATAAGGATGAACGGGGTGGGGCATTTTACACACAGGCTTGTGAATGTAGACTTAGAAGGAATTGTGCACATGATGACAAACTCTCATTTTAAAGACAAGATAGAGAACTGGAGTGGTTAGGGCTGAAAGCAAAGACTAGCAAGTGGAGACGCTGTGCTGGCTGCGTTAGCTGGAAGGAAGGGTAGACTTCTGAGGTGGTGGGGACCTGGTGGGGAGATACAGTTGGAAAGTTCGGGCCAAATAACAGAAGGCCAGCACATTATAGAACTGAACTTCATTTTGTGGGTAGTAAGGGTCCACGTGGTAGTTATCAGACTAGAAATGCTTTGATGAAAGTGGCGTTTTAGGAAGCTAAGTCTGCTGTAGTAGACAGAAGAGGGAAATGGAGGCAAGTGGAGCATTTAGGAGGCTGTTGCAGTGACCCATATGTGAGATAATCATTGTCCTGGGGATGGTAACTGTGGGCCATATGTAGGAGACATTTTAAAGGAAGCACTCACAGAATTTGATGACAGATTGGCTATGGGGGAGAGGGAAAAAAAAGGCTAACAGGCGAATTCCCCACCTCCCCAGGATATTAAGGTAGATTAAAAATATTTTAAATAGGAAACATATTTCAGGACAAATTTTTTCCATAAAATATCTCCTTTCAAAATTTTTTTCGTGGATTGAACCTAAATAAAAGGTAAATTTATCACATGATCATAGACCTAATTTCATACCTGAGCCTCTCTCTCCCCAAAGTCAATAATGATAAAAGTAATCGTCTATTTAGAGTCTGCTTTTCAAATTTTTAATCCCCTTAAATTTACTTCATGCTCTCCATGCAAAAGTATTGCACAGGGAGGAAAAAAAACAGATGTCTTGTGCTGACCGTTTGGTTGGCCCATCCATGTGGCAACGGTTGGGGAAATCTAATTCTATGTATAGCTCAGTATCAGAAATCCTGCTTTATGAATTTTTTTTTTTTTGAGATGGAATTTCACTCTTGTTACCCAGGCTGGAGTGCAATGACATGATCTTGGCTTAGTGCAACCTCCACCTCCCAGGTTCAAGAGAGTCTCCTGCCTCAGACTCCTCAGTAGCTCGAATTAGAGGTGCCCGACACCATGCCTGGCTAATATCTGTATTTTTAGTAGAGACGGGGTTTTAGCATGTTAGCCAGGCTGGACTTGAACTCCTGACCTCAGGTGATCCACGGGCCTCCGCCTCCCAAACTGCTGGGATTACAGGTGTGAGCCACTGCTCCATTTAAAGAATAAACTCATTTTCAATATAAAACACAGAAGAACAAAACTCTATTCCAGTATGGTTACATAATTAGGAAAGGAAATAGGAAATGCCCCACTTGCCACTTGTCTCTACTAGCGTGATGGAAATGACTACAACAATCTGCATGAAGTCATTTACATTTTCTTAGAAGGAAAACAGAATAGACCCCTTCTAGTTTCCTGATGGAGGCTCCTGCTCATAACCTCCCATGGGTTCAGTCAATACCTGGACTAATGTGTTTTGGTATCGCACACCACCATTAAAATGAATTTTGGAACTTTCACAAATCAAGCTTTCAATCCACTTTTCACCTCTAAGATTTGTCACCTTAATGCATACCGAGATAGGATGCATCAACAGTGCACATTTCAGATCTCCTCAACCTCCCTTATTTTTCACTTCTCTGGGAGGGATATCCTGTGCACTCAAACACTTTCACAGCTGGTAGAATGCTGATGGGAACTTCATATGTGTTACCAGCACAAGTGCTATCAGGAAGAAACCAAATGTCAAACTGAGGTATGCAGAAGTCACCATAAATATGTCTCTGCATGTTTACCATCTGGGACAATAGATTTCAATTTTGACAAGAAGCTGGGATTGCCCTGTGGGCACTGTGTTTTAAGCAACTCCTTTCAATTCACTAAGTAACTTCACATTACCCTGTTAGTGGGACAAAAACATGATTGCCCTTTCAAGGTGTGAATTTATGATCTCTTCACACTTCCTTTCTTGTTTCTACTCTGTCTAATCCTGTGTACAATTGTTTGGGGGGAATTGTCCCGCATTGTCAAAATCCTGTCCAGGCGGCCCTGTGATCAGTCTGAACATTGAGGACGTATGCTGGTGGGACACTTGCTGCTAAACAGCACCTTGCCTCTGTTAGAGGTCACCAAGCCGTATCTCAGGGAAGAAAATCTGATCTGTGAGGAGGAACTTGACTTTCTCCTGAAATATTTCTGCGGTAGTGAGAGATGGCATTGATAGTTAGCATCACACATGCTATATGCCGTACATGTCGTTCTAATCCTGATATAACACGAGGTGTTAGTTTGCATTTCTGTCTTTATTTTTTTAAATCCCAGTTCCATTGTAAAGCCAAAATGGAATGACTGGAATTCCAAAAGACTTCAGCTTATGAACTTGGTTCTATTTTGGTTATGTAATATTGGGAATCAGATAATACTCAGTCAGAATAACTGCCTGGCCGTTTTTGAGGATAATTTCTCATTGAAGGAGAAGTTTGAGAGTATAACTGGAGAATATTTGGAATAAAAATTAAAGGACATATTAAAATATTGTTTTGATCTTAACTTTTTTTAAAAAAGGATTTTTAAAAAGTTAACTGCATGGTTGCAAAAATATATATACTGCAACTTGAAACATAATTTTACAGACATCTTTATGCAATTGAATACTAAAATCACAAAGCACTGGCCATAAATCCTGTTATTCAACCTCCTAAACAGCTCTTATTTCAGAACAGCTTATATATAATATTATCCACAGAATCTCTCACCTGCAAAGGGTGAGGATAATGCTGGCTTTCTCTGCCAAATGTGAAAGCCCAGTAGGAGCCAGAATCTCTGCACACCACAGGTGTATGAACGTTGTAGTCGGAGAGCAAGTATATGATTGTAGCAGAAGTCTCATTGGCTCACCTATCTCTCTAGAAAATTTGGAAAATAAAAAATTTTGGGTTTTGATTCCTGTGAAAATAGAGCCTGAATTTCAAAGGCCTTTTTTAATACCACAGATTAAACATAGCACATGAACTCCCTTGTTATATTTATAAATAGCTCAATTCAATTTTGGTGGGTGCTTCTGGCAGAGCAGTTACGGCTAATCACATGTACGATGACAACTCATTTTATGTGGCTCAGGCACCAGATGACAATTAATTTCCAATGACTACTTTATAATTAAATCCTTTTTGTTTGTCTGTTTATAACTAAACCTGAAAATCTATTTACATTTAATTAACACTTCAGTGAGCCAGTCTAAAACCTATAAATGCAGTGACTCTTAATGATCCATTACAGAGATGCTACTTTAGTTTTCCTTGACTTGTAAAACTTTCACAAACAGATCTGCAAATGAATTACCTCCATCTGCTTGCCCTGCAGCTGCAAGAGGGCTATGTTAAAGAACGTTTTCCTCCTTCTTCCTTCTCTGCTTTTCTTCCAGCTCTAAGCATTTTTGTTTTAAAGGCTACCTAGCTGCTCTTCAGAGGGTAGCCCCTTCTCTTAAGGGGTTTCCGAACTTTAGGTCAATCTCCAAAAAATGTTTTAAAACACCCTTTGCTGTCATAAATCAGACATAATCTACCTTGCACAAATCGGTGGAGAAAGCATTTCCATCTCTGCCAGCAACTCAGTAACAGACCCTTCAAAGAAAATCTTTATAAATTGAGCAGCAAAATGCAACAGTTTGAAAGTGAATTTTAATTTCTACAGCTGAAATAAATCCTTTCTCAGCCTTAGCTACCCTCTACAAGCGATTTATAGCTCCCGTTTTGAGTATACAACAGGGATATGAAAGGGTACAAACGTGGCTCCCAAAGATATTTTCTTAGCTACACCTTCAAAAGCAAGGCATGAGGAGTGTTAGTTCTACAAAGACAGCCAAGCATCAAGCTATGCTCACTGTCATCTGTCAGCCGTACAATAGCAGCATTGATAGGACAGCAACAACTGGCTTTGACAAGTGTGCCGTGCTAGCATTCCATTCAAAACTATGCTAAAAGAGAGAGAGGGAGAGAAGCATTCAATGTCTTTTACTTTACCTGAAAAAAAAACTGCTTTTCTTGTGGCTGCTGAAAATGAATTCCTCCTTTTCTTCCAAAGGCAAAGTAGTTCTATTGCCTGCGACTCTCACTTGGAGAAGACCACACAGCTCCAGCAAGGCAGTCTTCCTTCTCTTAATCCCCACTTGAATGTGATGACACACACTAACCCCAACCATCTGTTGAAACACGTCCTCAAGCACTCAGCGCAGTGGTGTGTCAAGACAGGCTGCCCAATCCAATTGCTAGGGCTGGGTGTCTCTTACGGATTGGAGGCTGAGGGCAGGGCTGAAACTGGAGGTCTGAGAACTCCCAGTCAAGTAACCTGAGATTTTCGGAGAGAAAGGACTGCTATAAAAAGAGGAGAAGTGGGAGGTGCTATAGAGAAGGTGGAGGGAATGAATTACTCTGATGTCCAGTTGTGCGTTACTTTTCACAACTCCTCATGCTTCCCCTGTGACGATGGGGACCCTCAGTAGGAGGCACAGAAACCCTAAAAATCTTTTACTACCAATTTGTGCAAGGGCATTTCTTCTCAGCAAAACATTTTCCCTTCCATAGGAGATAAAAGGTTCATCTTGACTTGCTGATAAAGGGTTAATGTAGGAGTAGTTTGCACTGAAATGTGACATCTACATTTTGAAATCTAAACTCCTACCTTCTTTTGATTAGATCGTGGCTGCCTCCAACATTCCTGGCAGGGAGGGGATGGGGGTGCAGCTAAGAGCAGAAACTTCTCTATTCCCACACACTGCTCTTCACTGTTTGCTGCAGGCTGAACTTCAGAAATAGTCAATGAAAATCATTTTCGTTTCTACTCATGTAAAATAGCAGGCGCTCCCATAGATAAAGGTGGCTTTTTTAATCACTTGCTGCTTTCACAGACATCTCTTTGTAAAAGCACTTTGGTACCAGAGGACTGCACTCTGTCATTGATTATTTTTATTGGCTTCTAGTTAATTGCACTTATAATGTCTTTATAGCTCAAATAGCTCATTAACAATTTTGCTTTGAAATGTTTTCAATTTTTGGTCATTTCAATACCTCCTTCTTGTGTGCATTTCTTTTCTTTTCTTTTTTTTTGGTTTTTCTGAACTGTTTTATAAAACTAAGTACTTTGATAGCAGTATGAATCAGAAAATGGCTCTACTTGTTACAGTTCTTTAAGCTGATACCTGGAAATCAATTAATTGCCACAAATCTCACAATTTCAAAAATTCCATCTGACTTCTAAGGAATTTTGATAATCTGAAAGAGAAAATAGGAATTTTAAATACTACCAACTCCTTGACAGTGTCTGTGGGAAATCACCATTTTCATATTGTAACTTTTGAATTTCTTTGAACTGGGAGGGGGATTGCTTAAACACACACACACACACACACACACACACACACACACACTTAAACTTGTCTAAAGCCTTAAAACTTAGACTATAAAATAATTATCTAATACTTGGAGTGCCAGTATTACAAAGAGGATTGTTCCAGTTTCTAGCAACATTGACTTGACTAGGTTGTATTTTTTCAGAAATTCTTGTGTGGAATTATATTAAGATACTTAAAAATTATTCCTGGTGCAATTTTCTGAAGCACAAAATTAGAAAACTAATTTTTCTACAGTGCATTTTTTCCTGTAACTGGGTTATGAGGAAGAAGGAGAGAAAAAAAAAAACAAGAATCAGAAGTTAGAGTCCTGATTCATTTGCTCAATTTCTTCTCAGAAGTGATTATGAGGTGTCTGGTCATAATATATTGTGTATTCACTAAACTACTCCTAATCAGCTAAGTCCAGATACACAATCAACACAAATATTTTCAACAATGGCAAGTGGCACAACAGGGCTCAAACTTCCCTTGGGCATCATAAAATTTTTAATAGTGCCAATTATTGTAAGGTTTTTTTTTCCTGTTTTGGCGGGAGGAGGTTTAATCCAACCAGACCCATGTCTGGAAATCTGGATTACCTCAACTGTATAGATTTTGAAGACCCCAGGGACAGTATTAAGGTAGTTTGCATTCTCTTAAACTGTAAATTGAGTTACAAAAGTAAAACCTAAGAAACTGTAAAGATGTCAAATCAAGAAGCTTTATCAACCCTGTGCTTGTAACACACTGTCTAGCAGGCATTCCCAAATGGGCCTGGTTCTGACCTACATTATTGTTTAAAGTGCTTTTTAACACGGACATTTTATTCTATTATTAATTGTAGATCTTTTCATTAAATACCAGTCAGTGCTTCTCTTTTATTAATAAGTTCAGCTATTTACACGATTTAATGCTTGCTTTAAAATAAAAAAATACAAGGATGCAATAGATGTGGCTGTTCACTACAATCTTAATACTTGCTTCTACAGTAGTTGTAAATGCTACCTTTGGAAAGTATTGTAGGAGTGAGTCCACAAAGTCACATTTTTCGTTGTTGTTCTGAAATGCTTTTGTCAGGGAAAATCAACTCAAACAAAAACCTGAAGCTGGTGCTGCAGGATAAGGTCCCAGCTCTCCTTCTCCCTGTTGCCTGCTTTTGTGTTCAGGGGAGTGTCAATTTAGAAGTTAAGAATTTTCCATTACTTCCCTTCCTTTCTCCTCGCCATCTGCGAACAGTTTATTTTTTAAGGAAAAAAAAGTGACATTGATTCTGTCTTGAAAGATCTCAAACTAAAATACAGCACATTCGAAAAGATGATATGCCACATTTTTAAGTCACATCGAGCAGGGTGAGGTTGTGAGCTGAGTGAAGTGCTTCATCATAAGAATTAAGTCAGGACACTCCTAAAATGAAAGATTAATTGTAGGTAACGGTGATATTGAAAAATAGCTCCTCCTATTCTGTTCCCACAGTTAAAATGTCCCTTTACTTATTAGCTCCAATTAGTTTCCATGGTAACCGACCAGCCCTTGTAAACCCCGCACTCTGAGCTTCACTCATCTTTGTCTAGACTGAGCTCACCAGCCTTCTTCCTCCACAGATGGCAGTTTAGCTGAGTCTATATCTATATCCATATCATTTGCACACACATAACTGGCACGTAAGTGTCCACATTCACTTTATTACTTGCACAATGGTGGCCAAGGGAGAATGGAAGTGGCATTTAATCCCCCAGCTACAACGCGTGCATCTGCTGCCACACTAATTTTTCCCCCTCTTGGTTATTGTTTCTTCCAGTCTTGTTCTATTAT